AACTATATATAAATCATAATGTGTAAGTACATTTCAGGGAATATTTTACGATAGTTTCAATCTTTATTTTGATGGAATATGCTCACGGGATCTCCCTCGGGTAAATTCCTAGGATTGTTGATAAGATATTAAAGGGGATACTTCTGGAGAACCATTTTAGCAATGATGGAGTATGCGTTTAAACACAAGAATCATACAATAATAACATAAGCATAGCTCTTCTCAAACAAAAATTATTCTAGGAGTTCCATGTATACTTTAGTTTTTCACAATCTAGTTTAAAATGCTAAAATATTACCTTGAATCCTTCATCTACGGGAATAAAGAAAGTGTGTCGTCCGTCGGCGTTGAAAACGTCTTTCTTTTGCAGTTGATTAACTTTTTGCCGGAACGACCTAGGTTAAATGAACAATTTAACATAAATATTCATTAATACGCTTTTGTTCATACACTGTATTTAAATTTAGTTTTTTGAGATAAAATAGAATACGGATATCTTTAAATTATAGCAAATATAAAGAGCTTTGAAAAGAGATTCATTATCAACTCAGAAGTCGTTCGTCGTGCGTTCGAACCCGCATGCATAAAGTGATATGTCTTTCCGTGTGCTGCTACACTGCTCTTATGGTGGTAGCTGGTAGTAGGAAAGCATCGCGAAGAAACCTGCCTAATAGACTAACATTGACGATATGTACAAACCATCAATCTGGTGGGTTATAGTCTCATTGGCACAACATTCCAAAAATCGGAATACTAATATAGGCAGTGGATGTTAGCTGTATTGAAAATCACGATAGTATAATAATAGTGTTTAAGGTATAGAACAATTAACAAGAAAACAAACATTATATAATTTTGCCTTAAATTTTGCCTTAAATTAAATAGCGTGTTATTTTTTAACTTCCATACAGAAGCTGTTGAAAAACAGATTTACATTATAAGTTCCGTCGGCGTTGGCTTAACAAAAGCGAGTCTGTTTAATCTCCCTAATCGGACCATAGCTCTTTAATATTTCCCAAATTAGACATTAATAACCTCGATTCCCTTGAAAGTATTAATAACCGTATCAAAGTGGAATTAAAAATTATTACCGTAAATTCACTAAAAGATGCCAAACTTAATTGTACACGGAAAGCGATGCTTGATTTACCTGTTTAATATTCCGCGTAAAATATTATTCAGTTGGAAATTTTAAATTGGTTTATTGTGAAGTTTTCGAGTAATTGAAATATACAAGAGCGTGTAATTATTATGCTAACGCATTTACGCGTAGTGCCGCGAGCAGATTGATTAATAATATTGCTTTAAAACAACCTCTTTGTAGCTCATTCCATTATTTGGTTATAGCGGGTGCAATGGGTTTTAGTCATGTTTGCGGTGTCGTATTCGATTCTAAGGAAAAATATAGAGACGTATTTCGGGTGAGACGGTACGAGGGTAAGCCAAATCGATGGCCTTTTCCTTGTTTACGACTATAGATGCTTTTAATAAAACAATTTTTAACCGGATTGAAGTTATGTATTTACAATTATTTTACATAATTTTAAATTTAACCGACGTTTCGCGTGCTTTACAGAGTGCGTGGTCACGGTGACTTAACTTACTAATATATAATAACTTCAATCCGGTTAAAAATTGTTTTATTAAATGTGTAAAAGTTATGTCAATAAAAGACAAGACTATAGATGCTATTGACCAATCACAATTAAATCAAACACGGCATCGGTTATAATAAATAATGAACCAAAACAATTAAATTATTTATTATGTAACATGTATTTTGTATTTACTTCTCACCAGTAACATCATCTTGATATATGAGACGATTCTACATAATGTGTTCACCCCATACGCGGAGAATTATACTATACTATATTATATATTGTAACATAACACTTAAAGAGGCATTTTCGTACGCATTCTTGTGTCAAGCGTTTCCAGTTGTGATCTGTTATATATGATACACCATTTTTTGCATAAAGTTTCAGTCGTTTTTAAATTATATAGAAATAAATATAGTTTAAAAAAACTATAAAACACGCTTTTAAAGCACATCAAACTAAAAAGTGAAAAATAATTTCTAATTTAGGCTGAAAATGGTAATGAACAAAAAATACTGGTTTTATTGTGAAAAAGCGTGGGTCGCTCGATAGACGAAAAATATGGCACAGAGCGCCCCACGCTTTTTCACAATAATACCAGTATTTTTTGGTAATTTTTTATTACCAAAAAATACTGGTGTACTAAATTTAAATATTTTTGGTAATTTTTGTAATAAAAAATATTTAAATTTAGTTTTCAGTTCGTATAATGTATATTGCAATGATGCATTAATGTTCATTTCACTAATACGAACACGGCAAATAAACTTCTAACTCGCTTGACTGCAGTCTAAATCTAATCAGAGTAGTGAAAAGTTGGTACGTTAACCCACGCTTAAGTGAATATCGAGTTTGCGATGTAGTGAAGTTAAAGTAAAAGTTTTATACAGTTATGAATGAAATAATGGAAAGCTTTTTGTCTGCATACCAAGTTATTTAGGTTCGAATTCTTGGTTCGCAAAAACTAATTAATTATTAAAAATACTTGTAAATGAATCTTAGTACTCGTTCGACTGGTTACGTTCACTATTTGACCAAATGGTAGTATCGAACTTACCGTCTAGTAAATTTTTTAACGAAGCAATGTTGATGTTTCCAGAACCAGAGGATTAGGATCAGAATGAACCATGGTTCATTCTTTATTTCGTTACGTTTTCGCGGTTTAGATTTTAGAGAGAGTTGTTTGTTTACGAATAAAGTTGAAAAACAAATAAATAAATAACACTTTCAATTTAAATATAATTTCTCTATATTCCGTCATAAGTCGTGCAATAGTTTATTTTTAATGAATTTATTATTTTATTTATTTGCACTAAGATTATTTGATAATTAGTGAATTGTTTATGAATGGTTAAAAATCTATATTTATCATAAAATAATCATTATGATTTATGATACCCGTTAGATTGTCCAAATCTCTCAATTAATTAAAATTAAATTTGTTTTCACCAGAAACATATCATATACCTTTCAAAATTCAAAGTAAAAAATTGCAATGTTTACCTTAGACGATGTTGACTTATATCAAAGACATCTGAGTGTTCCAGGAACTGGTATGCATTAGGATTGTAAACAGGTGAACCAATAGAGCTGGGTCCATGCGGTAAAAGCGGTCGCAGTACTTGATCAATGACATGAAGAACCTAAAAAAATACAACATTAACCTATTTATATCAATTTCGGTATCTGTGGCTTTGTTTGTTCAATGTGATTTATGAAGGTTTAAATGACAAGACCTAAAGGCAATAAAAAGTAATGTATCACAGATTACTTTTTATGCCCGGATACATATATACTTATACCATTTTGCTATTTATTTACTTTTCATGAAATGAACGAGTCTGTTTTGTTTTAAACGTTGTAGCGACATCCACATCTGCGCTGACAAATCGCTGCGATGCCGTCATACCCTTAAAGGTTTGGTCAAACAGCGGACGGGGCGGGACGGCGACGCGACACTGGCGTGACGTGAGCAGTTGTAATGTACTAATTAGTATAGGACATGGCACCCAGAACCGTCGCGCCCGGCGCGATGCCAACGGTCGCATCGCGTCGCGCCCGACGGTAGTACAAGAAAAGTATGGCGGGACGGGGCGTGAGCGCGACGCTACATGTTGTGTTATATGGGTATTCGTTGTAGTAGTCAAATAGATAGCGGGACGCGACGCGTCGTACCCGGCGTGACGGCAGCTTTGTATTCGACTACAAAAATGGACATGGAGAGAGTTGAAAAACTAATCGAACCTGTTCGAGCACTGTTTTTGTATGATTTGGGCCATTCCCAATACAAAATTGCGAGCTTTAAATCAGCGATTTGGGAATGAATAGGAATAAATCTTCTTGTTTCGAAATGCTCGAGAAATCATGCCGAGTGCGGCGGGTCGGTCGACGCGACGCTTGCAGGATCATCACTTCCGCATTGTGACATCCACGCCGCATCACCGTCCCGCCAGCGTCGCGTCACCGCCCCGCCCCGTCCACTGTTTGACCAAACGTCATATACAACTTCTGGTCCATAGCCACTGAGGCTTTCGGGTCTGCTTATAGTTACTACACTAGAGAAACTATACTACTACTGTTAGAGGAACTACACCATCCTTTCTCCACAACATGCTTTGTGGTCAAAAACAAAGATCTTATCCAAGTAAGAGTTTATAGTAGTCACAGTAGGCTCTGGAATCGGAAATTATCTTTTACTGTGTATTTGTACTCCAACCTCACTTTGTATTACTTTTTGACAAAGACCTGTTAATGTATTCGTTTTGTATGTTCCGAATAAAAGTTTAATGGCACGGCTAATAAGATTTTATTAGTTGCAATGTATGTGAGAGTTGGAAAATTGCTAGTTGAAAGTTTATAGAGGTACGTGCGGTGCATATTAAGCGTAATGAGCCCGTGTGCAAATCACACTCAAAGGTACAAAGCAATAATTTGTGCCTCTAGAAATGTAATTAAATAACTTTATTCGTTATCTCGGTACGAACAAGCACCTAATTAGATGTTTGAGTCTCGCTTTGATTGGAATAAAATTCTTTGCTCTATTTATCTGTAATTTTAAGAAAACAGGTATTATAATTTCCAATGTTTACATTAGCAATATAAACTTTAAATTTATATTAAACGGGTAAAGACTCTTTGGCTTTCTATGTCCATTCGCCCTCTGCATATGCTTTTATAGTTTCTAAGAAGAAAAAGGTGAATAGAAAATACGTTATAATTAATAAGAGGTTACGTCAGTGTTAACAAATGTCATGCATCTTTGCTATCAGTATAAAAATAAAATCGCCAGCACACTTTTAACCCAAAAATTAACGATGTGTGTACATTTCCTACTTGATTGACTTCAAAGAAAAATTATTAATAAAAGAAATTAAGATACTATAAATTTATATACATTACATATTTGTAAGTTTAGATTTTACTAGGGAGTTTTAAAACTTTACGCAACATGTCCTTGTAGTATAATCAACTACAAAATAAAAAACCACTACATATAGTATTTTTCACATTCACAATTTCATCACAAACATGATTTTTTAATATATGTTTTATAAATAAACGTTATCTGTACTATTTATAATGATTAAAATCGACTGAATGATATATCTCCATTTAACAATGCGCGATATTCCCTATAAATAGGACATCGGCTTGATTTATATAACCTACTTGAATGTATTAAATTAAATTGAAAGGCTACAATTGTAAAAACTAAATAATAGCTAATTGACTTCTAGTTCCTTTGTGAATATTGAAATATCGTCATAAACCTAATTCCTTTCTAACTAGATAAATAGTCTGTGACCTTTTTCAATGTCACGTTTCTACTAAAAACGCTTTCACAACACATTATTATTCACAAAAAACGCACGGCCGTTTGATAACTAGAAGGACCGAACAAGTGTGAGACTCGTAGTCCTCAAAACTCTAAACCACTAAAGGTGCTGGATAGAAACAGATAGACTACTCCATGCTGCATTGCTGACCCTGACGCTCAGACAGAAATTCAGAAATTACAGATAAATATAGGCAAAATTAAGTTGTCGGGCGCTCATTAGCTGTTAAACCTATTTGATTTTAGAATAAATGGATAAATTTTAAAAATAACTAATCTCTTTTTAAATCTGGGCAGTGGCAGTATGCAATAAAACTAACTTAATCCACAATACGTGTATGCTAGGTTGATCCTACGACAGTCGGATTAACTTGCTAAACTGTGTTTGCAAAATATTTATTTAGAAAGAGCGAATAATTCTCTGTATGACACAATTCACCTGACCTGAATTACTTTGTCATGACGTTATAACTTTATAAAACACAAAATTAAATCTTATTCGTAGTTTAATTTAAGCCTTGATATATTGTCTTATTTTCTCTGGAATGCTATAAAGCATTTCAAAATAAGTCAGTTCAAAGTGCTAAAGAAAAACAAAATGTAAAACACTTTTTATACGGTTTCTCGCTTATTTTGTATATATAATTTGATTGTCAATTTATCTTAAAAGATTCTTGAAAAGTCTTAATTTTAAGTATTAGTACACCGGGTAGCAAATTTAACCTCAATAACAGCAGTAAACATTGAAATAAATTGTCTTAAATTTTGAAAAATTAAATTCATTTTTTAAATCTTATTCTCATAGAGACGGGATTAATAGCTTGATCGTTATTCGTTACAAATTTACAATTTTGATATCGTTTTCTTACTGAGCCAAATCATGAAGTAATCATCTCATATCATAAAATAATTGAAGAGTTTTGTGTTTTTGTTTCAAAATTGTCTTAATTTATCTTTATTATCGCACATTTACATTTTACATAAACTGTTTTTTACTATAGTAAAGGATATTCTAAAATGCCTAACAAGAAAGTTTCAATAACAAAACAATTTTGAAGTGGTTCGATATTTCGGTTTTAGTGCAACTTTGTATATTAAACGATATTCCAAAAATATACATATAGCTAATAAGAAAGTTTCAATTGTTTTCAAGTGACTGACAAGTGACTAAGCCCCTTGACGATGTGAAATGAATAAAAGCAAATATGACGTGAATATTACCTGTCTCTTGCCGTTTCTATTGGTGGCTTGATACGATCTCGACACGTCTACTTTAGCGTTATTGACGTAAATGTCATCATGAAGTCGATCCCGTCGTCTCGTTACCCACAAGGGAGGGTTGCCGTCGAGTTCCGACGATATTGAGTAGTCCAAATTTGACAGGGTTGTGGCTAGATTTGCTGGGAAAATATTAAACTTTGAACATTTCCTTACTTTTTATTCAACTTCAAAAATCGCATAAAAGATCAGTACTTTTTATACAGAGAGGTAGTAATTTTACTGTTAAATCCTTTTCTTAATTTTAACACATATTAATAGATAATATTTTCTCACAGACTATATAAAATATACGTCAATATTGGCAGGTTACGTTTTTTGCTATAGTCTATAGACGACGCATCGTCGAACACAATCTCATATTTTATTCACTCGCTGAATTAATTAATTATGCAGATTCCGAAAGGTATGGTTCAAATAAATCTACTATTTTATCTTTCAAATATTCCTTTTTAAATGTATTCTTTGGAATTGAAGACATTGTTTCTACAATACAGAACATTTTAAACAATCCTTGACAAAAATATATAATACACTCTTCATAACTATAATTTATTTGTTAAAAATGTTTTGTCTCGTTATAAAAATAAGGATAAAACATTGAATCACAATTTGAGGTAAATTGAACGATTTTAAAGGCGATATTACTTCCACCCATACGTATACCAGACATGGACAATAGTTTAGTATTAAAATGTACTTACATATGTGATATAGGACTAGAAAGTCATCCATTTCTCGGTTGTATTTCTGGAATGCGGCGTTAGTGGGCGCGAATAACGTCATTTGACGATACTGCAGGCTCGTGTTCGCCACCACATTGCTCTCTAATAACGCCAGGAACTGGAAAAGACGTTTAAATATTAGCCAATGGGACCAGATACAAGTATAACTAACCATTTAACGCGCAATTCACTATGAAATTTAATTCCGTATATCAATTGTTTAATTAATTAAGTAAATAAAGTAATTTAAATGGAATTTAATCGTATGAATATATGTGTCATAATTTAGTAATATGTAAAATTGTAAAAATCATAAACGTATAAAAAATAAAAGAAATTCGCAAATCAAAATTTTTATAATGAAATCCAATTATGAACTTTTATTATCAAAAAGCGTTTCACTGATATTAAAAATAGCGTAAGTAACTTAATTAATATTTTTGTACTACTTCAACAATTATATCATGAATTATTAGTTCAATAGCTTCTAGTTTCTAAGCCGCAGGTGTAAAATTGTTTTAATAAACTTAGAATAGCTTATAATAAACACATGACTTCACCACTGAGTCATTGCAAAGCCTAGTACCGATTGTCTAATACTACAACTAGTAGTAATACACGACCAATATGTAAGTAAAAAACACATTGCGTTTTATTGTATCGAACAAATAAATGGATAGTGCGATAAAATATAATAATAATAAATTGCCATTAGTAGATAAAAAGCGATTTATGTAGATTAACCAAAGAACAAACATAATTATATTAGCAATTTGTCTAAGCATATATTTGTGCACCAATTATTAATGAAGTACATTATGAGTTCTCTTGACAGCTCATGAAACGCGGGCGATAAGTTCTATTGATTGAAAATATAACTTTCCTCGGATAGACTTTAAAATTGATCGTAGCCTGTCTATTAAAAACCTCATTAATTATGGGCGCAGAAGACCGAGCCGTGGATCCTCATTCCGGCTAGCGTTTCGGGAATAATATAGAGGGAAATAATGTTCTGAAAGAAATTTAAGGCTCATTTATTATTCGGCGATACGACCGACTGAGTAGTGTGTTAATTTTTTAGTTCGGGTCTTATACGTGATGCGTATTTTACATTCTTTCACTTGGAATATGATGTTTTGTCTCTAATATTGTAATAAAATTTGACAAGTTTACAAGGGTAATATTTTGCTTTACTTAAAAAAATATTCATGACACATGAAACTAAAATAGTAGAATAAATAACTGTCATATATATTCATATTATTATTTAATATTCAACTCATATTTGAGTTGTTTCTTTATTTTAGTTCATAAGAATAATTAATACTAAAATATTCTTACTCCACATATTCAAATAAGCAATAACAAATTCTGTGAAACAATAATGTGAATATAATCCCCTTTTTTATTTTGAAATCTAAATACAAAAAAGTTATATAGTTGACTTCGTTTATCAATCTTTTATTTTTGGGACTAACTAGACAATTATGGATCTATCAAGCCAGTGTTGACTTGGATTCGCAATCCTGAGGTTGTCAACATTCGCTCGTACGGTGGTGGAAAACATCGTTTGGAAACCGCCATACTTAAACTCAAAAAGTCGGCGTGTGTCAGGCACACAAGGGTGGATCACCAATTTGCCTATTCACACAAACAAACAAAATACAGAACTAAAAGGTTTTAAGACCAGGTATTATATTTTATTACAATAGTACTAACAAGGTAAGACTGGATAAGCTTATTTATTATATCTATCTCTGTCAAGTTTAACATAGGTATAAAAGTAAAATTGGCCAAACCCAACTTTCGGCGGAGAAATAATGTCTTTTAATGACCTGAAAATGTACCCCAAATGATAGTCGTAAACTCAATAATACGAGGGGAGCATGACCTCTATAAATCCAGATTTTGGCAACGAAAATAGAACGCTGTAGAAACAAGGGAAGCTGGTTTGTACGGCGACGGCATGGCGCCGAATTCGTTTGACTAGACAGATTGGGTTAGAACAATCAGCTAACTTAACTAGAAACTTTTGTCCATTGATAATGTTTGGAACTATTTCTTTCAATGACCATGAATAATTGGAGGCGAGTAATTATTACAAATCATTCAGTAGCCGAAAGCTTCATTATTCCATATATCCAACATACGATACATTTAACATTTGGTCAAAAGAGCGGATTGATGATATTATTTTACCATGCGGTACCAACTAAATAGTTTACATATTTTTTTTTATAAAATCACGTTAGACCGTCTCATAGGACCTAAAAATAACATACAGAAAATATGGTTTTGAAAGTTGACCGAAGTTGCAAGCATTTTCGCTTTTGCAAAGCGTAGTAAAAATTGTTGTTAAATATAAAGTGCAAACAAGAATTGTTTTATTTCATAAAAGCATTTCTATAACTTTTATCACGTACAATCAGGAAAATACAATATAATTCTTTGTTCAAGAGTTACTCATATAACGATAGCTTTGTTCGCGAAGCCGTAAGGCATAAACAGAGAACCTTCTAATTAGAAAACACGAGGCTATGCGACGTGTGGCCGGCGATGGTAACCGCAGAGTTGTCCTTCGCTTGTAATGAACAATGGTTAGCTTCTAATAAGGCACCGCAATGGATGCAAACTTCTCTAAGTAGCACGCATTGGATTTGATTAAAACATTTAAAATCGGTTTTAGGGTAAGATATACCGCCCATTCGGAGTATTATAATTTTAAATAAATGATTCACCGATCATATGATATTTCTTTCATTGGGTGAGTTTCTCTTCGTCCTTGCCTTCTTCCTCTTCCTTCTTCTAATTAAACTTATATGAAAGATTAGACGCAAAATTTTGGAGGAAGTGATAATCAAATGCAAATTGTAGATGCGTCAATCGAGTTGACTGTTTCCCAATCTTGGCGCTCTATTTTGTCATTGTACGGGACACTGAATAAATAAAATAAATGAATGAGAGTTTACTTTTTACGTGTCATATATTTTTGTGGTAGAGTCGATAGATAATTTGAATCTCTAGATAATTAAAAAAAAAATCGGTCCTTTGAAAAATACTCGTTAGATTGAATAAAATCAAAGCTTGGAATTGAATAAAAGCAAATTGGTCCCCTCAGTAATTTAAAGTTGAAGAAATAGTATCTTGCTCGGCAACATGCGATCATTTGATGTACGGGCTTCCCTACTCTCTATAATTTGAACTGTTTATATACTCAAAAAAAATGATTACGGACTTCTTTTCTAAATAATAATTTGTGATAAATTGTATTATTGTATGTCATTGCTAATAGATAATACGAGTATTGTTCAAACTCTTATTTCCTTTAGTTAATTGTGGTTATGTACACACTTATTATTTTGAAATTTATCTCTGTCATAGACAGTCGACTGTACCTATCACTAAACAATCTATCTGATTCTCTTTTACTTAATTTCTCTATTAAGTTAGTTGAAGGTGTGTGAATATATAGTTATTATGCTAGGCAGACTTTTCTATTACGTGTGCATGGTAACATTAGGGTAACGTTTACTCGCCATATGTGTCAAAAATTAAGTTTATAAACGGCGGTCAACTTGCTCCAACTACCCCAATACAGTAGCGATAAAATCAGTTCGCACCCCTATGTTGTACTTTTCAATTCGCTTTTGTTGACAGTTTTGTATTCAAACGTTAAAATTGTATTGTTACACCCTAATCTTGATAACAATGCTTTCACAAATCGTTTTCAAAGGCTAAGTGTTAATCTGATTTAAACTCAGCGGGTGATAAATGCAGTATTATTAAAAACCTTAGCTGGGTTTCTGTTAAATAAATATAATCTAAATCTTGTATGAGATCGTGGACTCCGCAATAAAACAGCGCAGACAAATTATTGCGTCGATTTCATTCATAATTTTTCTTAATATGTAATAAAAGCTTTCTGTACCTGACTGGTCTTAGATTTAGGAAGAATTTCCTCGCGATGTTTTCCTTAATCATACCAGAAATGTTTATTGTGCATATTAAAATCTATTGGTGAACCGGTTATAAACGCACGACCTGGTTTTATGTCTGGAAGTCGCACGCTTTACCAATAGTCTAACACGGCTCCAATAGTTAAAGTATTTATTACCACGTCAAAGAAAAATCCCTCAATCAAGCAAACTGAGAATAGTTTTTAATACTTTCTATAGCTTATAAAACTTTAATGCACATTAGTTTTAATAGAAATTCGCGCAATATTTTGTCGAAAACGTTTTATCGCCTAAGTTTAAATAAAATAATCGCTGCAGAATATGTCAACTTTAAAAGGCAAAATTTTGATTTGCTAAAGATTTTAACTTCAAGTTTATTCGTGAATAATATTATTTGACCGCTTGCTTTACTATATATAGATTTTCCAAATTGAGATTAAAAGTAAAACTGAGGATTTTTTGGTAATTATCCCCCTTATTTATAAAGTAATCAGTATGCATTCTTTTAAATAAACTCTTTCGTCTCTTTCTTTCAAATTGTATTTACGCTGTGATGAAAAGGGGCAGATTAGTACTTCAGTTCAACTTTTACCTGCCTTAGTTCCTACCACTCAGGGCAAACAAAACAGTTCCTGGGTTTTCTACCCAAAGATTTTATACTGAATTCAATTAAAAACCTAGAAGGCATGCCTGTAAAAAGACGCCCCGCCATAATGAATCAATATAAAAAAGACCAACGCTGAATCGAACATATTCTGTTATAGATTTTCTTAATTTATAGCTGTTTTCTTGTTAAATACATATTTAATACTCAAAAGATGCCGCGTTGTTATTCCCTGAGGAGGCTATTGGATTTTAAATGAGTAATAAGCATAAAGTCACCCAAAAATTACGGTGTCCATCAACACGATTAGCTTAAAGTAACGAGAGGCTGGATGGAATATTTATGAGGCTCATCTGTATATAAATTATTATCTTTTATATTATTTACAAGAACGATGAAAAAATAAATAAATAAATTCATTTAAAGAAAGCTATCCACTAGCTCCACCCGTCCACTTGTTTTTCAAGTTTTTACTAAAATTCATATAATATTTAGCCCACA